GTGTGTGTGTGTGTGTGTGTGTGTGTGCAGCCTGCAGTTGACAACACCAAGGACCTGGACGACCGCGACGTTAAAGATAAGCTGCGCACAATTCTGAAGAGGCTCGGCAAATTAAAATGTTCCAAAGAGGTAGAGTGGTACAGGAAAGTGGGTTGTGGCCCAGAACGAAAAGTAACGTATGATTAGAGTCGACACTTGTTTCTTTGTTTCATACTCAGGGCTGCCACGCTGCCTTCACCAGTATTATGGGCTACATTTACCACACGAGGAAGTGTGGGAAGGAGAAGTCGGAGCTGGAGAAGATGCTGCTGAACTGTTCTCACTGTGGGAAACCCTACAGATCCAGAGCTGGCCTGGAGTACCACCTGAAGTCAGAGCACGCTCCTGTGAGTCCTGGGGTTTTACTGTGGACTGGACCAGCTGATTGGTGTCGGTAGTGTTGCTCTCTGGCGTGCTAGCATCCACCGTGACTCACCCAAGTTAGTCTAAGCTAACAGTTGTATCAACAGATCTAAATCTTCTGACCAGTATTATTGGTAAATACATACTGGGTGTAGTAGTCTGACTGAGCAAGTACAACCACAGTGAGCAACATTATAATTATGTACAGACCGGGACTTACCTGAATCAAGCAGACAGGTCCAAATTGGATCTGCTAAAGACCAGTTCTAGCTACAGACATCGTGTGCTCATTTAAGTACGTTGAGGGGAACCGTCAGCTCGTCTCTTCTGTGTGTCTCAGACAGCCCAGGCCACGGACGAAGACGAGGCCCTGAAGGCCCCGTCGGAAGCCAACACAGAGAGGACGGCCAGCGGCAGGGTTCAGCGAGCCTCCGCACAGGTGGCTAACTTCCACTTAGCAGAAATTGCCAACAACGATCTGCCCAAAGACTGGCCAAAGAGGAAGTTTCCGTCTGACCTGGTGCCTGATGACCAAAAGGCAAGAGAAGACGTGTGTGTGTGTGTGTGTGTGTGGATGGAAGATGGTCTGAAGGATCACAACCTCAGCCACACACTGGTCTGGTTTCTATTTCTAACACAGAGACTTCCAACTGTTCCTTCTACTCTTCCCAGTTGAAGTATTCCCGGCCAGGTCTCCCAGCCTTCAGTCAGGAAGTGCTGAGGAAGTGGAAGAATGAGGTGAAGCTGCAGAGAAAAGTCCAGTGTCCCAACCAGGTACAAAAAAAAATCTTTGTACACTTTCTTTATTTTCGACATGTCTTTATTAGCGCAGTAGCATGATTAGCTGCTGAGTCTATTCTCCTTCTCCAGGGTTGTGGCTCCACCTACACCAGTGTGTCTGGACTGAAGGCCCATCTTGGACTCTGCACACGGGTTAGTTATAGCTCAGAGGAGAAACCTTCAGAACGGTTACAGAATTTTATTTTTTGGTTTGTTTTGGCAAACGCACATTTATTCATGTATTTAATGTGTGTGAACATCTTGACATGTCAGTGCAGCCAGAACAGTAGCCAGATGTTGAAATACTGGAGGAAAAGTGACACATTTTGACCTTTGTCAATGATGTACAAACCCTGGGTGACACCAATCCTATGATGTTGTCACATTAGGGTGAGTTTGAGGTCGGGAAGTACAGATGTCTGATCTGCACCAAAGAGTTCAACTCAGAGAGTGGAGTCAAATATCACATCAACTCCGTCCATTCACAGGTAAAAACCTCGTGGATTTTCTCTGTCTTTCTCTCAGTCTCTGCTTTGACTCGTCTTCCTTTATTTCCCGTGTCCACAGGACTGGTTTCTCCCAAACAAAAAGGCTTCCAAAAAGTTTGAGCAGTTCCTCAAAAACCAGTCCAGGGAGATTGTGCTGAGTGTGGACAAGCAGATAGTGGACAGGTACAACCATCACCACCTCCAGCACCACCTCCAGCATCATCTCCATCAGCAGCCTCTGCAGCCACTGCATCACCTGCACCACCACCTGCATCCGCAGCAGCAGAACCTTCCAGAACCTTCTGAAGCACCAACGCTCCACTACACCTCCCTGGAGCCTGCTGGAGCCACTCTGTGGGCAGATGCGCCCAGTTCAGAGCAGGCGCCAATCGAGATGGAACTAGACGAAGGGGAGAAGCCTGAGGAGAACAGCGACGGTGGCTGCGGGGTGGTGGAGGACAAACAGGTGGAGCTGGAGGAGGTGAGAGTGAACAGAAGCAGTAACAGTAATACTGGTACTTCATCTGGTACATGGTCCTGTGAGTCAGAGGCGGAGCAGCGGGACGAGCAACGACTGACGGACCAATGAAATCTGAAGCAACCTGCCGTCCTGGAGCTCCACCCTGAGGAAGTGAAGCAACACTGCACCACTCAAACAAGGACAGTGGAGTGTCTGTGGGACAGATACACCAGGCTTGTCACACACACAGCTCATCATCACAGGTATGAAACGACAACTGTCCACACAGAACTGGGTTTGGGTGCTACGACCCACCTGAAGGTTCAAATCCCCGAGGGGTTTAAAGAACTAATCTGTCTGGGGTCTGTGTTTGGACCTTTGAGCTGAAGTTCTAGCTGTGTGTCTCGCTGTCCCACTTCTTCTCTGTTTCACTGACTGTATTTTCTAGTGGCTGAAACAGAGACCAGAGCCTCCTGCTGGATTAAATGTGTGTAAAAAAAGTTCACATATACAGAGTTCACAGACCATAACTGGTGATGACGTCAGACCTAGAGCCCCCACAAAGACTACTCAGTCATAGTTTATTATTGTAGATGAGAAAAGTGGTTCAAACCATTTGTCTGTCTGTGTGTGCGTGTGTGTGTGTAACATGAGTTTCTATCAGCACAAACGTTAAATGTGTCTTAAAGTGTCTTTTGATAAACACTCTCACTGTCAGGTTGGATGATTTAAAGTATCTTTTAGTCTCTTCACAACAAAAACCATCCTCTAACCACAGAAAAACTTAA